GGTACATCTGGGCAAGGATTTGTCCACTCCTGAAACTGAAGCTGATAGTTCCTGTCGTCCTTTCCCACCATTTCCCCCTCTCTTTCCCCTTCCCCTACCCACAAGATTTTTGCAATAGGATTCCCCAGGGTCCCTCCCAGCCAGTCTTTGCTGAATTGTTGAATATGTTTTTTGATTTCTGTTTTTACGTGCAGAGATGATAATTTCTCCTTCATTTTTTCCCATTTAATAGTGATCTCGGCTTGCACCTGCAGTCGGATTTCTTCCTGCAAGACCTGGCCATCCAATCTTACCTCCTCCATCTCATACACACACCGTCTTTTCCATAGTGCCCAGAGTACCGCCCTTCTCCCTAATTTAAATATATTATCCTCAAAGGTGGTAGTTTGCTCCGGGTGCCATGCTTCGCACAACAGTGCTCTCCAATCCCACGGCCAGGGTGTCGTGGGGCCCATCTGTCTCCATATCCTCTCCCACCATCTCCACAGCCATACTGAGCCCGGACACTGAAGGAAGATGTGTTCAATTGTTTCTGGCCAACATCGTGACGGGAAAACAAAGACACAAAGTTTGCACCATGGCAGAGCTAGACCTCGCTGTTCCAAGGTTGTCCTGTCAATTAGCCAGTCGTTTGTGGGTAGACAGCGGTGCTCAAGCTGCCATTGCAATGATGCCACTTTCGCTGGGGAGGCCTTGCTCAGTCTAAACCATCTTACTGGGTGAAGGGTCTCTTTCCCCACGTTTAGGTGTCGCCTCCATCTGTTTTCCACCACCTCCTGTAAGTCCATTTTGGGGAACCCACAGAAGGAAAATCATCTGATGATGCAGAAAGCAGTGACGAAGATGATCCGGAGATCTTGAAATTAGTACGGCAACGCGTTTACTACCCGCTACCCAAGACGATAGCAAGAATGATGCAACTGACCAGCCGAAAAATTCAAAGGACCAAGTCAATGATCTTGGGAGAGCCCCTCGTGCAGATTTTGAGGATGGTCGACTCTTTGGAACCCCCTCAAACTCTGTACGAAGGGATCACCCCTCTCTTCGCCAGGTATAGAGATAAAAAGCATTATTGCGACATTACGGAACTACCTAGGTCTTTGCTAACATCGGCTAAGGAAGTGAGGTTGTTACACTTGGGGGCGGAAGCAAGCTCTCTGGAACCCCCTAGCGTTTTGAAGCAGAAACAGACAGGCTGGGGATAAAGATTGCAACCAAGGAAGTGCCATGGCAGGATATTTGCGACGGGATTACCCCGGAAGGACACGTGGCAATCCGGGAAGAAGATGCTCAGATGATGGTCACGGTGTTCTCCTGGCGATCGGATCATTCATTCATCTCGGCGCCTCCACCCGACTTGGCAAAACAGGCGCACACGAAATATATCGACGTTCAGATCTGGGACCAACTTTTCGAACTATGCGTTCCATAGTATGTGCCGGATGAAATTCATCGGGTCATTGCGGATATTCTAACATAATATCGAGAAACGATTAGCGTATCAGATACTGACATTGGGTTGTCGTTAGTAATCCAACATGAAATTCAGACAGGAAATCACTCCCCGATTCAATGCAAACCCTATCGCTATTCCCTGATTGAACGCAAAAAGGCTCTCGAATGAATTCGGGAGTTCGAAGCCAGTGGTTGGATCGAACCTGCTACCGGACCTTGGTCTTTTCCCATAGTGTTAGTACCGAAGAAAAACGGAGCGATTCGCATTTGTATTGATTATCGCAAGCTGAATGAAATCACGATTAAAGATGTGTATCCCCTCCCCCGGATTGATGATCTGTTGGATGCGATTGGATGAGCTAATTATTTCAGCAAGTTTGATATTCGGCATGGTCTCCATCATATTCTGGTGAGGGAAGAAGATCGGCCAAAAACGGCCTTCGTGTTGTTTGAGGGCACGTGGCAGTGGGTTCGGTGTCCGATGGGGATTTGCAATGCGCCTGCCACATTTCAGCGAGCGATGAACGTGACGTTCCATAACTTCGTCAACAAGACACGGCTGACGCAGGGAATGATTAACTTTTGCGTGATCGTGTACATGGACGACATCCTGGTCTATTCAGAGACCTATCACGGGCACGTGCAACACATCAAATGGACATTGAGTGCATTGAGAGACGCTGGGTTCAAGATTGCGCTTGAGAAGAGTGAAATTTTCCTCTCGAAAATTTCGTTCCTGGGCTATGTCGTGACACGTGGAGGATTGCGGCCAGACTCGAGAAAAGTTGTGGCAGTGAGGGAAGCTTCGGTTCTCACGTCTCTGACGCAGGTTCGAGCCTTTTTGGGGCTGGCGTCGTACTATCGGTGCTTCATCAAGGGTTTTGCCACGATTGCACGACCACTAACGAATTTGTTACGAAAAGACCAGTCTCTCAGCTGGGACGCGGAGTGCCAGCAGGCCTTTGCAACCCTCAAGGACGCTCTGGCAACGGCCCCTATTTTGATCCGGCCGGACCCCTCGAAGCAGTTCATCCTCATCACGGACTGGCAACCGGAAGCTATTTCCGCTATTTTAGCCCAGAAGGGGAACGATGGTCGAGAACACGTCATCGAGTACGCGTCACGAACCGTACCGGACGAACGAAGAAACGACTTCGCACCTCAGGGTGAGTGCTATGCAGTAGTTTGGGAAATCCAACACTTCCATCCGTATCTCTACGGACATAAGTTTTGCCTCGTAACGGATCACGAGCCTCTGCTGGCGCTGAAGAAACTCACCAACTACACAAGCATGATTGGCCGTTGGGCGGTGCGATTGCAAGAATACGACTTCGACATCGTCCATCGAAAGACAAAGCGACAGCCAAGGTACCAAAGGGCGAGGAAATTATACTGTGGAAGGAGCCAGACTTGACCCACGAGCCGAAATACGGACAAGTGGCAGTTCTTCCACGTGGCAAGAAGTAAAACGTTGACGATGGGTGATGGAGGTAACCCCACTACCCCTCTCTCTCCCCCTTCCTCTTCGTCTCTCCTCTCCCTGCCCGACAAATTCTGCTATTTTTGCGAAGCTATTTCCCGCGTATATTCGGTCTCCATGTGTCAGAACGGGGAGGGATTTGCGGATTGGATAGATTGCCGACAGTGTGTTGCGCGAGCCCATGGCTCGTGCATCCAATACAGAAACGATAGTAGACCATGGTTGTGTCCCTTGTGCCGGACCAACAAGATTCCTACGGAGGCTCGATTTTTGGATGCCACGTCAGAAGGATTGGAAAAGACCCGAAAGTTTCGAGGGGCCGAAGTATGGACGGATATTGCCTTAATTGCCACCCTACTAGGTAACCCCCTCCAGGATTTCACCAAAGAAGATCGGAGGAGGGCCAACGAAAGAGCTCGGGATTATCGATGGGTAGAGGGTAGATTAGAAAAACGGAAAACGGATGGCAGTGGGATTTGGATGGTAGTGTCGTATCCGTTCATGCGGTATGACTGGGTTAAGACAGCCCACGAGGAAACTGCGGCTCATTTTGCCGTGCGAATCACAGAGTCCGCTATCGACAAAAATAAGTGGTATTGATCCAAAATCCGCGACGATGTGAAGTACATCGTTGCCAACTATCAGGTCTGCGCCGCTGATAAAGCGCCGATTCAGCCGCCAAGATCGATAGTGCCCATGGTTGTTGAACGGCCATTTCAAAGAGTGAGCATGGACACTACCGACATAGTGGTGCCCCCTGGCCCTAATAGTTGCGAGTATTCAGTCCTGCTGGTATTTGTCGACTATTTCTCGAAATGGATCGAAGCGTATCCTTGTCGCACGCGGCAAGCCACGGAAATCGCGCGATATGTCAACCGTTTCCTCAGGATGCATCAAGATACGGAGGAAATCCTAACCGACAATGGGGTTGAATTCAGGGGAGAAGTGTTAAGGAATCTGGTCCTACACGGCGTCACTATACAGAACACTGCACCTCAAATGTCACAGTCCAACGGGCTGGTCGAAAACGCTAACCGGGTGATAAAGACAACGTTGCAACGAAACATCGCGGCACGGGATCCGAGACCCGATATTGTCGATCACATCCTGGCGGTCCATCGCGGAACGCCCCACGAATCGACGGGGCTAAGCCCCTTCCAATTAAGGACCAATAGTGTCGCTTGCGTTTCGATACCGAGCCTCCCGGATGAGACTACATTAACCCGACGGCCTACCAGGGCCACAACTCGGGACAAGGCCAAACGACACCTAGAATTAATGGAACGGTCGCTGCCCAGGCTAGCCCGAAAGCGACAGAAAATGACCGAACTAGCCCAGGGCCGACAGGTCCTGGGCTACGAAGCCCGAAATGGGAATGCGGGTCCACGGCCCCAGTACAAATTGGGGGACGTGGTGCAGGTGAGGAAATGTGCTCGCCGGGGTAAGCTAGAGCCACGATTCTTCGGGCGATATCGCGTGATCGAGCTCGGCCCCAACGGCGTGGACACCGTGCGCCTCGCCCCTGAAGTCTCTGGCAGTCGATCGGCTCGTCCGATCACACRCCACGTGTCCWATCTCCGCCCCCTCCCCTCTGCTCCGACTCCTTCTCCCTCTTTTTTTGTCTCTGAGGAAGCCGAGGACGACGACTCTGCCTCTCCGGCATCTCCCTCTTCCTCTTGCTCCCTCTCTGCCTCCCCGTCACCATCGCCATTGCCATGAGTTTTCTGGAGGAGAGAGCCCTCAGCGAAGTAGCGCTTGCACCCCGTGATCGACTGACGATCCGGCAGGTCTATCATCCCTACCTCAGYCCAGACCTTCGGCGACTTGCGCACTTCTTCTGCACGGAAGGTGTATACGCGGCGGCGGTGTTCAGAATAGAAGGTCGGCCCAACGCAGTGGTACTGGCCGAGGCAGTAGCGGTTCATCAACGAGCGGTACTAGGTGTCAGCCGCATATCGGTCGTCATCAACTTCCGAGGCGATATTTCCACACTCCTCCCTTTACGACATTCGGTGGTGAGGACATCGCTGGGCGCGTGGGCAAACGACTTGGTCGCCGAGTGGACCCAGCTTCTGGCTTGCCCCGGGGACACGGTTGCGATGACACGAGCAATCGAATACGACGGCCTTCGGATGTACCAATGTGATCCGTCGGCGATCCTCCCTGTTGTTGTTCCTTTCCCTCGCCCCCAATGAGTCTTTCTCCGATCTCCATTTTTGATCTCCCCTCCACCTTCCCCACCTTTTGGCAGTCTAATATCCATCCTCGCCTTTCCTACTGCCTAAAGACCCTTGTTGTCCCCGACATTCGTCCCCCATACTGGGTCCTGTGGCGCGAAGACTTCGTAGAGCTTTCACTGTGCTTGGTCGAAGTACGGCTGACGTGGATCGAGGACGAAGCACACCCGCCTTGCATAGAGCGGCTGGAGTTGCTGTTTATCCAAGCCTGGCGCACCAACGTGGAGGGAGAGTTCCTCGCATTCTTATTCGGTGCAGTACGGCCCGACCATCAGGAACTTATCACGCAAGAGCTCACGATCCTGGTAGCGCAACTGGTGGACGACCTCCCTCTTGACATCATCTCGCAAGACGACAAGCATCCAGTTCCCCATGTCCTTTCTCGCACCTTGACACCTTATCTTCAGTGGTCGGCTTGCGTAGAAGGAGCCGCGACAACATTTGGATCCCCGGGCGATTCGTGACCCTGCCTTCTTCAGGCAGCCTACGGCGGAGCAACTTACGGCCATCCAAGAGGAGAAAGAGGAGGAAGAAAGCACTAAGAGTGATGACGGGGAAGATGAGCGGGAAGAAAGTGAGGAAGGCGACGAAGTACTCGGGGAAGAAGACGAAACCCCCGAAGAAGGAAGCTATAGCGAGCATGGCGAGGGGGAGCAGAGCGAAAAAGAGGAAGAAGACGAAGAAGGAGAAGAAGGGCACGAAGAAGAATCTGCTGGACCAGAGTGGGAAGCCGTGCCGGAAGAAGCGTTGCGCACAGGTACAGAGGCAGAAGATCCCGAGGCGGCCCCTAAAAGGGAAGAGATCGCGGCCGAGAAGACGGAGTTAGAACTCACAGGCGCGGTGAGTCTGCAGATCTGCGACGACTCAAACCGAGATCCGGAGCCGCCCCGACCTGAAGATGGCAGCCTCGCGGCCACGACTCCGGCCCCATCGGCACGGCGACGAAGCCCATCCCCCCCCTCCCCAACCTGTCCCTCAGTTCGCCGACGTACCGATACGGGCGATCGGCCTTCGTCCCCGATTACTCTCTCGCCGTCCCCTTGACTACCTTACCCTCCACCAGCTCACCACCCCCGTCACGTTCCCCTCCAATCCGTTCCCCCGCAGTACCTTCCGCCACTTCTATGCCGCTCGCCTCGCTGTCGTAGTGCATCCCCATCTCTCCCTCCGGTGCGCCGTCCCAGCCTTTTGCCTCCATGTCTTGCTTTTCAGTGCCGCGTGGCGAGGCCACAATATGATTGAGGTGTATTGCGTGATAACGGGGACCATCCCCGCATGCGAAGGTCGCGATCATTTTCGTGCGGCGCTCTTCCGAACCTTTACCACCCTCTACCCCGACTATCTCGCGTCCCTCCCTCACACTGGCAATCGATTCCCCCGTCTCCACCGCATTGTCAGTTACCAAGAACTCCCGGAGACTGCAGCCGGGATGGAAAGGTTCCTGCCCCCGCTACCCCTAAGCCCTCCGCCCCGCCATGCCGCCATGTACCAATTTCCTTTCCCCCTCCCGGTTAATTACTGATGCAGCAGGTAATGGACGCGCGTTGCGGCGACGACACGAAAAAGATCCCGTCCTTGAATTGTCGTGAGCCCAATCTGAGGAGATAGTAGAAGAGCCAAGTTGCCACGTTGGATGATGTCCACACGCRATCAAACGGTAAGTGGCATAAAGAGAAGTGCTCCGCGTGTCGATCGATTAGAGAAATCGACACGTGTCAACAAGCAAGCAGGAGCTTGCTCATATTGGAACCCCCTGGGTGTCACATATGTCACGAACCACTTTCTGTAACGCGCGAGTTTCTGCGCGGTTGCAACGAGGGGTCCTAAGCTGGGAAGATTGGGCCACTTACGGGAAATCGGGATCGGTGGAAAATTGCATCAGTACCCTTGCTTCTTCGTCTTTTTCGTCGCTTCTTCGGGGCTGAGTGTGTCCGGGGACGGCCGGCTGGGCGATTGGCCGGATGGATGTCTGGCGCGCCACCACGCGCGCGATTAATAAATGTTGACGTCGTTTCTTTCGTTTTGGGTTGGATCTTTTGGGCGCGGACATCGCGCGGGAAATTGTTTCGTTCTTTTTTAATTTCCTTTTGAATCTTTTTCGAATTTTGTCGAGCCCCGATGACTCTCGGGATTTTGGACTTTCTTTCTGGAATGTATGCTTTTTACTTTTCCGCACTAGATAGGAATATAGGAATTCAGTAATTAAGACTTTCTCTGCCGCGCTGCGCCTTTTGTCTACGCGCTTTTTCATGCGGCTGCAACGGTACTCTGATTAGTGGGCGCCCTTAATCGTGTGTGTGACTACAATTTTGGGCGGGCACCATTGCAACTGTATCTTTCCTCTTGCACTTTGTCTCTCCCGCCCTCCCTCTCTTTCTTTTGCTGAAGTTTTGTAAGTCGCGGTTTGCATGCTCGGATCGATGCGTGGAGAAGGGTTACGTCCCCCACGCCGCGGCCGATCATGTAGAACGCAGGCGTTCCCTTTCTAATCCTCACTCTAAGTCTTGGTAATTATGCGTTCTTCACGCATGCATGCACGCTATAAATTTCGGCTGCGCGATTAATCAGCTCTCTTGACCTGTTGTTGGAAGCTCGGGGTTGCGCGATCAGGAAGGGTCGGCACACGAGCAAAGTAAGAGGTGAGTAGAGTAGGAGTTGGGCGGCCCGATGAGCTGGTGCCGAACGCGCGGGATTGACGTGGGCCACGACGGACTGTGGGCACGGGCGAATCCGATGGGTGCGGGAGGACTAAGCGGGGTGACAACTTCGTGGGTGGGTGCGTGACGACGGACTGTCCGCATCGGAGAGAGAGGGAGAAGGAGAGAGAGTTGAGGTCGATGGACGTGGGTTTGCTGTTTCTTTGTCTTTTCCTCCTCTTCGTCTGTGTACATACATTTTGATTACGGCTCCGGGCGGTTTGCCCGTTTTTATTTTCATTTTCGGCTTTCAGGAACCGAGACTTGGTTTTTTGCTCACACTTGTCCCTGATTTTGTCAATCTCGATTGCGCGATGTGTATGATTGCTGAATGTATGGATGTAGGAATGTTATGCTTGCGCATCTACATCACTGCTGAGAATCCCGATCCTTACCTTTGTTTGTGCCAAACCTTTGCTCACACCTGATGCAGCTGTAAATGGATAAGGGTCTGGCACCGATAGCGATTTTGTCCTCGTTCTTATTTATCTCGCGATGGGGGGTTATGATATGGTCGCATCTTGCATAATCCGAAGCAATTAAACGATATGGGGATTGACCCCACGAACGCCTTGCGAGAATACGTGTGAATGCGATCCGAGTCGCGCCCTTACACGCATTCCCGTACGTCGATTTGCCCACCCAAGAAGACTTGAGGCGGAACCGTCATCCCGTACGAACTTACTGAGGCGTCACTGAATCTGCCTGTCCTACACGTGTCCGTGCGCAGTGACGATATCCTGATCCGAGCTATCCCATCGACGATGATACCATGACGCGATCTTTGAACTCAGACTCGTCCTATGACCCGGACTATTTCACCCCTATAATAAACGAACTCATAAGGACACGGTACCCTTGTCACACGGAGAATCGGCTATGTCTGCGGGAATTCCACTGTGCCACCACTAGCGACCCTCGGTGCTCCGATTTCCCTTCCCCCGACCACACCTACTACTTC